CGACTCTGTCAACCTATTTCATTATTTAGATAACAGGGAATATTAGGAGTTTGCCATAAATATATTCCAAAACGATGAAGTAATTATGGAACTCAACGCAAATGTATATTGCTAAATAATTCGAACTTGTAAAGCTCTGCGACATCTAATTTTATTAATATCAAATACGAGTGAGCTTATACAAGCGAATATAGTCAAGTATGTTATTTCATAACAAGATTTAAAAAAGAAAAAAGTCCAGTATACGTTGTTCTGGACTATCCGGTTGATATAAAATTTATTAACAACTCTGCTATATCGTTTTCTACCAGGTACGAATTTTGAGATTTTCATTTCTACTGTTAAACCTACATATTATTCCGAATATGACTCCATGAATATGGAAATTGTTAATCGCTTGACTATAGCGCCATATGCTAGATTTTACCTGAAACAGAAACAGAAACTTTTTTATTCAATATAGATTATAAATAATACTAATTGAAAGTCACTCTTTTGTTTCATTTCCACTGCACTGGTTCGAAAAAAAACCTCTGTCCTGGAAAGAACCAGAAAGAAACTTTTTAAAAAAAAAATAACAGCTTACAATCATGTAATCACAGTTAATCATACAAAACAAATTAGAAGTAGCTTGGTAGCGATCACCTCATTCCCAGGGGTTATTATCATCCAAATATATAAAGGCTAAACAGAGATAACAAACAAGAGGCGGTGCAGCAGTAATCAAAATAGAACGGGCTAAAAAATATTGTATACACATATATATACATATAAATATACAGACACATACATAGACATATATACTTAAGTACACACAATATATACATATATATACATACGTACACATTAACATAGATACAGTACATATATACACAATACATATAAATATTATCTATGTCAGAACAAATATGAAATATACATATGTGTATGAAAATAAGAGCTGTGTTAGTTCAATCTTGCAACGATTTTTTCACATGCTTACGGATTTGATTTTTAAAAACAAACTTGTTGGAAACTTTTTTTGGAAGGTGTTTCTGGTACTTTCAGGTACAGGTACTTCTGATACAGCAATAATCACGTGGGGACTGAAATGTTTGACATCTTGATGTCATAGTGTAAGGATAACAAATAATAGAAAATAGAATTAAAGTTAAAACGGAACGTAAGTTTTTAATGTAAAACGTAACGGAACTATGGTAATAATATAGGTACAAAAGAGTAAGATAGATTAAAGTAGTGAAAATTATGTGCAAGCGAGATAGATTATTTTAATTATATAATTAGATTGAAAATAGAATACAAATCATAACGTGTAATAGCGACAATTGTTTAATTTCTTCTTACAATAGTTATCCCGGCTACCTTCAAGTTTTAAATATTAATTTTTTTTTGGTCCGTTCTACGCAGAATAACCTTACAGTATCTTGAAGTGTTTCAGTGATAATTAAATTTTATTTGTACGATATCTCTCCTAATCAAATTTAATTCCTATGTGTAAAGTTCATTAATTATAAAGTTTCAAGCCTTTTCATCAGTCATATTCGAGAACTGTATGCCAAACTTATTTCAGGCACGTTATCAAATAATCATGGATACATTTTATATTCATATATAAAATAGATTTTAATTGAGTTTCTCGTTGGTCTTGTGGTTTTACAACACGTGACTGACGTGACTGCTGATTATGAGGAACCGGGTTCGAATCATGTGTCGGCCCAAAAAAAAATTAATTTATAGAGTGTTTTGAGCTATTGAGATTTTCTTGACGAAAACACTCAGTTTCCAACAAGAAAATCTCAATATCTGCCCGAAGTCGGGAAGTTGGCGGCATCTCACTCCCGTGCTTTAAGCGGTCGTGTAAGTTTACCGTCCTATCGGACTATATGAGTGAGATAGTAAAGTGTGCATACGAATACACTTGGGCACTAATGTTGTCCCGAGCTGATGGCTAGTCATCGTTGAGGATGGCCGTTGTGACTGATTTTCGGTTTGGAGGACATTATTATTTAATCCAAAGTGTTTAGATAGCTTTAAACTTGTTACTTGTTTTGCATGAATTTTTCGCGAATATACATAATTGTTCGCGCCCAAACGCTGGTTTCAAGATTTGACGCCAGAGGGCGCTCAGCTCGATACGGCACGTTCATAACCGGTTAGACGAGTGGGCGCTTGGCGGGAGTTAGTTGCTACCGGCAGCTGGGTCGAGTCGAATGGTTGCTAGAATACGTGCTGTCGAAAGCACGTCGTGAAGTCGCCAGGGAAACCTCCATTTTGAAAGGCGGTTTTGTTAGCAAATTGTTGCCACGACGAGGGTTTTTGTTAAGTCTAGAATTAGAAGCCGGGCTAACAAATTGTTAGGAAGTTAACATTGATTGCGATCAACCTCGGAATTGTGCAAGAAATAATTGTTGTCACGCGAAACGGAAGTGACCTTTGATCCGAACATTCGGTATTCGTGTTGTGTGTTACGCTTTATAATAAACTAGTGTTATTGGCGTCTAGAAATCAGTTAATTGTACGGTATAGTTAATAGACTGACAGAGAGAAGAAGAAAGAAAGTGACTGTGGGTGACGCCGCTGGAGATTACCACAATTTGGAGCGGTGTCGAAGTCCGGGCTGCTGCCGACTTCAACAGTCCAGTCAGGTCTATCACAACCAACACCACAAAAACACCACTATACTCAACACATACACACCTCCGGCCTGATCGAGCCCTGAGACAGCAGTCGCCTCATATACAAGTAAGTGATCTCTAATTGACCAGCCTCCCCATTAAATTGTAGTAGGATAAAACATTTTCCATATAGTTTAGTATTATAGGAAATTCTTCCACAAAGCCAATTGGGCTCCGACCTCTGTTGCTCGTCGAAGGTGTTACTCATGGGCCCTAATACAGTCGACTTTTGTCGGGGCAACTAAGGGCGTGAAAATAATGTTAAAATTATTTGATGCGAAAAATGTATCTTAATGTTTGTATTTTATCGTAATGGTTTAATGTAATAAAATATTATATGTAAATGAATAAATTAATAGTTTATTGGTTAAATTATAAATCTATATTTAACAAAGCTTCCGTTCTTTCATTCACCTTGGTAATAATAACAAAATATAGGTTATTTTATATAAAATGATGTAAAAGATACCAGGTTTGCGTACATTATTTTACACTTAAGTCATTTTTTACAGCTTGACTGAAAAGAAGAATTTTTTCTACAGATTTTAAGATTCGAGGGAGTTGTATTTAGTAACTGAATTTGCAAGAAAAAAAAATTTATTTGCACGCGCGTCTGGGATATACCGGATAGATCAAGAGTGAACGAGAGGTTGCGTTACTCTAGTGGAGCGTCATATCGATGGTGGCGGTTAAAAATTGAGGGTATATCGGGAAATCCCCACTCGTTTGTGCAGTACAAAGTTCAGTGTGGGTGCTGAGCTCGAGAGATTCCAGCTAAGTCATTCTACCTAGTAGTAGTGCTAAGATAGTATCATGGTTCCGTCCATTGTGGTGGTTCTTCTGGTGCAGGCGAGGAAGATGGTGTTGCTGAGAGGCTGCTCTGTGTTACACTGAGATGTGTAGTGTGCCATTGGTTTGCATACTTTGGTGTTATCATGTAATTACGTACCCCACGTTACACTAGTGTGTGATTGTGACGGAGACGTGTTACGGTGTGGTCAAACTGTAATTGCTCTATACTGAATGTATAGAGCGTTACGCTCTCTTATTACTGATAATTATTAATTCCGTAAGCAAGAGAGCTGAAGCAAGAAAGTTGAACATCCGCTCTTACTTTTTTATCATTTTTAACATTTTCCTGATGTATTTCCGAGATGAAAATGTAATGAACCATTATAGCTTATAATTTTCTTGTAAATAATTACAACAATAATTATTACATTCACATATAATAAAATTTTGAAATTAGCATTTCTTTCTAAATTATTATTTAAAAGATTTTAAAAAGTTACTTCGCAAACATCCGCTATATAAATAAAATGATGTGTCTTACCTAGTATGAAGAGCACCTCCCGCCCTCCCTCAATTGCGTGCACTATCCCCGTCACCACTAATTCCAGCACCACTACTCCCAACACCACTACGCTAGGAAAAACACACCACTGACGACAATAAGACACGTGTTTCGCCTCTACACGAGGCATCCTCAGGTGATGTAGACTCTGCGGTGGCTGACCGTCAAGTGAGCGGTGAGCTGAAACAACTGCCTTTTATACAGACCACTGAAACAACCGCTCCCTGTTTAAGGAGCGAGCGACCACGTCATGCGATAAAACGTGCAACCAATCACCGCCGGACTTACGCAGCTGTTTGAAAAATTAAAAACAAACCACGCAACCAATCGCCGATCACGGTGAGGGTGACAAGCGATCATATTGCGAGGCTGTTTGCTATTAGAGAGCAGGCTTAAAGATATTTAAGAGGGGTGAGTTAGAAACATTTTTTTGTTTATTCAGCAGTGCAACGTTACTATTATTACTTTTTAATATCCCTAACTGTTCCAGCACACACATTGGCAGCCCTTTATTACACGCATGTTTTTAATTTTTCAAACGGCTGCGTAAGTCCGGCAGTGATTGGTTGCAGGTTTTATCGCATGACGCGGTCGCTCGCTCCTTAAGCAGGGAGCGGTTGCGTCAGCGGTCTTGTATAAAAGGCAATTGTTTTGGCTCACCGCTCACTTGACGGTCAGCCACCGCAGAGTCTACATCACCTGAGGATGCCTCGAGGGTTGTATTATTTATTCTTTCCCTAACAAGTGCAATTAAGAGATTTTCTACAATGCATTTGCTACACGTACTGCAGATCTTTCATATTTATCACGACTGCCATTCGCCATTTTAGCCAGTCTCTAATTTCTTGGTTGCAGACGGATTTTCTATCAAGCCAGATGGGGATCAGATAATGCTATTTTTTTAAAGACGATAAACGAGCACGCATTCCACTTGATGGGAGGAGTGTGCAGTGCCCGTAGAAACCTTTTATTTACATAAGAAAATGCTTACACATACCCGCCTCGCGGGGGCAAGGACGGGTTATGTCGGACTCGCACCAACTAAGCTCCAATGATGTCCCACCTTCGTCGCATATTGGCAGGGCCACGGGAATGCTTTTCCCACCAGGGTCCGCCGCCCCATAGCAACCCCACCTCGGGGTAGGATCTCTCCTCTCAATTCTTCTTCTCTTCCTACGACTCCTTCCTCTCCACGACAAGGAGGTGCCCGTAGACACCTACGGTACGGTACAGTAAGGTTCTCCGATTCTCTACACTTATCACATACATTCTAAAAGATCGTGATCCTACCCCAGTCGAGTTGCATTTTTTCGAACGCTGATGAGTCCAGTTGGATTAATCCGTTGGTTGAATATATTATTAAGTCGAAAAACGTGTACCCATACCTACGCCATGTGATTATAATAAGAAAGTAAGATATGGTTTTCTACGTTGGTAGGACCAAGCTGGAGCACAAATGGGTCGGTTCGACCATGGAAGGACCAGACTGTCAAACTAGAGTGAAATAGTAGCATAATGCTTATAGGTTTGGTATATATATACGAAACATAACATCAGAGCACAGTTTCGTACGATATGTGTCTAGAACAGGAGACCCATTTTACTCATCAAGGATAGATCAAGATGTCTATGGGTCACACCATCCACTTAGTTTATTTCATGGTAAATAAACTAAGTGCACGTTTTTCACCCTTAATCTATAAAAACTGATCTTCGTCTGATCATTGTTCATCTTTGTTACGGCCGTCAGTTGCCCCGACAAAGGTCGACTGGGCTAGGGCACGGGTTCGGGCCCAAATGGCCCATGGATTGTTATTAACTAATGGCTGATAAACAACACAAACTTACCAAGTTCCGGAGGTAGGGTTGACCACAGGGTATCAGTCAGGTGGTAATTAAGGTGTATGTAAGTAGTGTGCGAAAGTGTGTGTATAAATGTAACCTGACGTCACCGATGTCGTCTGACCGCAGACCCACAGGCGCTGCTTTTCTCCACAATGTGCGATCCCTCCAGTGGGCGTTCACCAATTGAGACTTTCAGCTTTTATTTCACTATATTAGTTTATCAATTTTATTAAACATTTAATTAACTTCAAATTTAACTAAATCAACGTTAATCGAACTTAAAACAAGTGACACACTGCACACTTTAGAACGGTACGGTCAAAGTTCAATATCCCATGTTCACTTTGCACTAAATTATCATCGAGCATAAACGCGATCTCCTCTCGAGTCACAAAGTTTTAGCGTTCCACCGGACAAAGCAAAAATTCCTTCGTACGATATTAAAATGCCACAAAAGCGACTCGTCGACGCAAATTAATGGTAATTGAAGTTAAGTTAATCACTAAAAACTATTACAATAAGAATTACAACAACCCTAGCCTCGTTGTCACGTAAAACGCACGAGATTAGACAACGCTATTAGAGGTGGTTCCGAGCGTAAATTTTAGACCGTGTAATCGACATGGCGGTGCGGTGAGCCAAGAGACGCGCGCGGGAAGTGTGCCAGGCGGTGACAGGTACCATCGAATGAATGCGCCGAGCGCGAGTCTTGAACGCAAGTTTTCAAAATGTTAATATTTGGCCTAAACAATCTTTATAATCTACCCCTTGGGAGTCTATTTATGTGTTTTTTCTTATTTAAGTGTTTGTTTATAGCGTTACTTCTGTTAGAATGGGTTTATATAAAGTATATTTAACATCTTTTTAAGATTGTGTCGTTCTCAGTCTCCGAAAAACATGTCTGCATGTCAGAGAAATCAAATACACGTTAAGTCTGTTGAGAAGTTATAGCGCGGCGGACTCTTCTTTACCTCAAAGCCTGTAGTGGGACGATATGGACATTTTGTACATTCATATAATGACTTAGAAATTTGATTTGTTATTATTTACAGTTATAATAAATATTATTAGTAAATGATGATGGTAGAATAACAAAAAATAACTGCGGTTAACAGGGAAATCGGTTGTAATGAAGATGGACATTTATTACAGCTTATCAAAAGTCCACGCTTAACTTGGGCCTCTAATTATTTTGACGGATAGGGGTAATATTTGTGAAAAAAACAAAAACAAACAAATTAGTTAATTAAATGCCACACAAATTTATTACAAATGAAATTTGTAATTAATTTTTATAGTTATCAGGAAGATGCCAACTGCCCTATCTCTTGCTTCCGTCTGTTTCCTCTTACGGCACCCACGGGATATGTGGAAGAGTATTCTCTTACGCCGCTATCACACAACTAAAGTATTATTTAACTTTATATAAAAGAATATTTAATAATTATCATGTTAAGATACTTAAACATTTTTTTATTAACACAATATTATATTATTATTTCAAAAAATATTAAGATGAAATAAAATTAAGACTGGTGAAACATAATATACTAATATTATAAAATTATACAGATTATTTTTTCCTTAAAACAAACATTGAATGTGACGGATCCGTCGAGCTGCGCGGTTGCGATAACGGTGTTGCGTCAAGCTATGGAGTATTTTATCTCCTTCTCTGACGCTCCCACCGGTAGAAAAGCTCACCCATGGTTTAACGATAAATGCGCCCAAGCTGAAAAGCGCAAGCATTTAGCTTACCTATTCTGGGTTGACGCTCGAAACCACAAAGCTCCGGATATTAGCTCCAAGAAGAGACCTTTCAACCAGACCGCCAAGTCCTACGCTTTACGGAAAGGTAGTCTCGATTGCATTAAACATACTGGCGCACAACTCTCTGCCAGACCATCCGGCACTAGAGCTTTTTGGTCTCTCGCCAAAGCGGTCGAGACAAACTTCTGTCGACCTACACTGTATCCGCTGGTAAAACCGGATGGCCCACTGGCGCATACGGCTAAGGAGAAAGCGGACTTGTTTGTCCCTCTTTGCCTACAATTCACGTCTGGACATTGGCAACAACGTTCCACCAAAATTACCTCACTGCGGGACCTCTATGTCGGAGAGTCGTATAAAAAATAAGGAGGTTCTTAAAACCTTGCGGTGTCTAGACGTTAATAAAGCTAGTGGACCAGATGGTACACCAGTCATCGTTCTAAAGGCTTGTGCACCTGAGTTGTCTCCTGAGTTGACACGCTTGTTCCGCCTCTCATTTAGGACTGGAATAGTGCTAAAATCCTGGAAGCTGGCCAACGTGCAGCCTGTTTCAAAAAAAGGCAACCGTGCCGACCCTGCTAATTATTGGCCAATCTCAACTACCTCCATAGTCTGCAAGACTATGGGGCGTATATTGAATGCCCGCTTAATGGCATACCTAGAACAGAATTACCTGCTTAGTGACCGCCAATATGGGTTTCGCTAAAATCGGTCAGCTTCTAGCGTATGCCACACACGTATTGGGCGAGGCACTTGAGAGCAGTGGGGATGCACTTGCTGTTTGCCTTGATGTCTCGAAGGCCTTTCACAGAACTCTGTCAAAGGCCTTTCAAGAGTACCTTTAACCGACGGGCGTGTTTGCATAGGTATATGGATATGGAGGAAGCGAAAGAAGTGTGTCAGAATCTTGCTAAATGGAAGTCTTACTGCCTACCCCTCTGGGTGACAGGTGTGAGTGTTTATGTTATGTTATGTTATATTTATATACTTAAAAATAAAATGTATTTAAAATTATTATAAAGAATTATTTATTATTAATTATAAATATTTAAAGGATAATTTCTTTATTAGGTATAATTATTAGAAGCTTTATATTTATATAAATGTTTTAAGTTATATGAACTAATAATCGTCAAATTATAAAAATATAAATTTCTTTAAGCCTTAGTATTATACAGAATGGGTACCCACATATATGCAATAAATGAAACCACATACTTGTAATCGCCTTTGCTGACGATGTACAAAATATGAACGTAATCGGTTCAGTAGTTAGGTCAAAAAGTAGAGTTTTAATTTTAAGCAAATTTGAACTCTATAGAATTGGGTCACTAAGTCAATGATTCAATGAACTTGAATCCTTGAACATTAAAAAGCGACGTTGCCACGGAGTGCAATCTATTGGTATTGCGACGTATCGACAGCGGTGTCTTTTGACGGCGTCCATAATCAAGCGACACGAGGCACGCGGCGTACTTCAAAGGCGTCGGCGCAAGTGCGCGCGCGCCTTTGTTGTAGAGTAAGACACCTGTTATCGACGATTAACTTCTTTCAAAGGGAGAAATAATCGATTAACAAAAAAAAATGTTTAGCTATAAACACTTAGGGCAGGTATTTTTTAGAATTAGCGTGTTGTTATGATAATTCTAAAAACACTACCACCTAAGTATTTAAAGCTAAACTTTAAAGCTTTTTTGTTTAAGTGTGTTCTTGTAGATTTAGAGATAATAAATTATTTTAACATGATAAAAACCCATAAAAACAACCAATTAAAAAGGTCATACATACTTACCGTTTCCCAGGAAGTCACAAATCGGTAGTTTCGTAAGTTCAATTGTACAAAAATAAACTTTTTTTAACAATCAATAACTTGTTGATTGTTATCAAATCAAAATTACTTGTATTCAAATATAGTAGGTAAGTAAGTGTAAAAAGAAAAGTATCGATAAACGATAATTGCACCTTGTGGCCGCCCAATTTATTACTTTTATTATTTTCGCCATTTTGCAACGCGCAATTCTTCCAGAATACAGATGCGTTTCGCTGCTTACGCGCATCGTAATTATTTATCGTAAGATAATTATCGTATTATCGTACGATAAATACAATTACTCAAACAATTTACGGTGAAATAGACAATTATTAGTTAACTGACTTTGTGTGTGTAAATAGTGTTTTTAAGTACGTTTATTTTTATTATTTTTCATTGTGATATTGACCCGCGTGCAACGTTGTCACTCTTCCAAGGGGTCAAGGTACGTTCTTTTACTGAATTTATTTTAATATTAGTGTAGTGGCGGTCAAGAATATCCACTACCCCATATCCTCCCGTGGGTGTCGTAAAAGACGACAAAGGGAAACAGGCAGGAGATGGGCAGCAGCATCTTCCTGATAATAGCCAAATTACAATAAAAAAACTGCGGTTGCCAAACCGCTCGCCAAGCGTGGCAACTATGGCAAATACCCCCCCTATGAATGACAGTAACAAAGAAACGGCCCCCAGTCCCCGGCGGCCCCGTTATTCCTGGCTACGGTGGCGACCATGGTAACGGCGGGGCAGGGGGTGCTAGGAATCTCCGGTGGAGGTTCGGTTGCCACCTTAGACGACTCGACCTGGCAACGTACAACGCACGCACCCTGAGGACTGACGAGAAGATTGTGGAGCTGGAAGAAGAGATAGACAAGTTGCGCTGGCATATTATAGGATTATCCGAAGTCCGAAGAGAGGGGGAGGACACAGTAATCCTCGAATCCGGCAACTTGCTCTATCATCGGGAGGGCGACCATCTGTCCCAAGGAGGTGTCGGATTTATCGTCCTCAAGTCTCTCGTTAACAACGTTGTAAAGATCGGGAGTGTGTCGACGAGGGTTGCGTACCTTATACTCAGAATCACCAAACGGTATTCGCTGAAGGCCACACTGGTTTACGCACCAACCTCGGCACACCCCGATGAGGAGGTGGAGGAAATGTATGAGAATATCTCTAGAGCCATGCATTCCTCCAAAACCCAATATACGGTGTTAATGGGAGACTTCAATGCAAAACTAGGCACAAGAGAGAACGGTGAGCTGAAAGTAGGGAAATTTGGAATAGGGCAACGGAACCCAAGGGGCCAGCAGCTGGCCGACTTCATGGAGAAAGAGGGACTCTTTATGATGAACTCTTTCTTCCAGAAGCGGCCCCACAGGAAGTGGACCTGGTCGAGCCCCGACGGTTCCACAAAAAATGAGATTGACTTCATTATGACGACCAGACGACAACTGTTCAGTGATGTCTCCGTGATCGCGAGGGTGAAAACTGGTAGCGATCACCGAATGGTTAGAGGCACACTGAACCTAAACGTTAAGTTGGAGAGGTCTCGTCTAATGAAGTCAACGCTCCGTCCCCCTCGTGCTCTGTTCCAAAGTCCCGACACCTTTCAGCTCGAGTTACAAAACCGTTTTCAGTGCCTGGAAGACTGCAATGAAGTGGACGATATGAATGACAAGCTCGTGGAAACTGTCCATGCGGTCGGAGCTAAGTTCCGCAAGACCCGCCGCAGAAGAACACAAAAACTCTCCGATCACACTCTTAATCTCATGGCTGTTAGACGGGAGATGAAGCTACATTCTTCAACAGACTTGACAGCATACAGGCATCTGAACAGACAGATCTCCAAATGCATGCGGCGGGACTTACGCAACTTCAATACAGCTCGTATTGAAGAAGCGATCGAGCGGAACCAAGGCTCCAAAGTCTTTGCCAGAGATCTGTCTGCCAGAAAGAGCCAACTGTCAAAGCTGAAGACAGAATGTGGCAGCATCGTTTCCAGGACACCTGAGATTTTGAGTGAGATTGAGAGGTTCTATGGGCAGCTGTACACATCATCGTTGGAGCCACACGCAAGTGTGAGTAACGATCCAAGAGCGAGTCTCATCCGACACTATTCCGAAGATATCCCGGATGTCAGTCTGAGCGAGATTAGGATGGCTCTCCAGCACCTTAAAAACGGTAAGGCCCCAGGCGAGGATGGAATTACAGCGGAGCTTCTGAAAGCGGGTGGAAGACCGGTACTTGATGTCCTTCAGAAGCTCTTTAATTCCGTCCTGCATGGTGGCATTACACCGGAGGCGTGGAGCAGAAGTGCGGTGGTCTTGTTCTTCAAGAAAGGTGACAACGCTCTCTTGAGGAACTACAGACCGATTTCCCTTCTGAGCCGCGTCTACGTGCTGTTTTCGAGAGTCATTACGAATCGTCTCGCGCGTAGACTTGACGACTTCCAGCCTCCCGAACAAGCCGGTTTCCGAAAGGGCTTTAGCACCATAGACCACATACATACCCTTCGGCAAGTTGTACAGAAGTCCGAAGAGTACAATTTGCCACTATGTCTGGCGTATGTGGACTATGAGAAAGCCTTTGATTCCGTCGAAATTTGGGCGGTGCTGCAGTCCCTTCAGCGGTGCCAAGTTGACTGTTGGTATATCGAAGTGTTGAAGTGCTTGTACAGTAGGGCTACGATGGCTATCCGAGTACAGAACCAGAGTACGAAACCTATCCAATTGCAGAGAGGTGTAAGACAGGGTGACGTCATATCCTCGAAACTCTTCACCGCTGCATTGGAAGACGTTTTCAAGCTTCTGGACTGGAAAGGATACGGTATCAACATCAATGGCGAGTACATCACTCACCTTGGATTTGCCGACGATATAGTCCTTATGGCAGAATCGCTGGAGGACCTAAGCACTATGCTCAATGACCTCAATAGTGTTTCCCAACGGATAGGTCTTAAGATGAACATGGACAAAACAAAGATCATGTTTAATGTCCATGTCACACCTATGCCGGTAGTTGTTGGGAGCACTAAGCTCGAAGTTGTTGACGAGTATGTTTACCTGGGACAAATAGTCCGACTAGGTAAGTCCAACTTCGACCGAGAGGTCAATCGACGGATTCAACTCGGCTGGGCAGCGTTCGGGAAGCTACGACACATCTTCTCGTCAGACATACCTCAAAACCTTAAAACGAAATTGTACAACCAGTGCGTGTTGCCAGTGATGACTTACGGAACTGAGACGTGGTCCTTCACTGCTGGCCGTATGAGGAAGCTCAAGGTCGCTCAGCGAGCTATGGAGAGGGCTATGCTCGGAGTTTCTCTGCGTGATAAACTTAGGAATGAGGATATCCGCAGTAGAACCAGAGTAACCGACATAGCCCAACGGATTAGTAAGCTGAAGTGGCAGTGGGCCGGCCATATAGCTCGAAGAACCGACAACCGATGGGGAAGAAAGGTTCTCGAGTGGCAGCCTCGTACCGGTAGGCGAAGTGTAGGGCGTCCCCCCACGAGATGGAGTGACGACCTGGTAAGACATGCAGGAAGTCGATGGATGCAGGTGGCTCAGGACCGTGCTATGTGGCATTCTTTGGGGGAGGCCTATGTTCAGCAGTGGACTTGTGAAGGGCTGTAATGATGATGATGATGATGATTTTAATATTTATTTTGTTTGAAAATTTCACTTTTTTATTTTACGGGTTTTAATTTAATTTTTTTTTCTACACTTCTATGGACTAGTATTACTTGTGGTTTCATTTATTGCATATATGTGGGACCCCATTCTGTATATTTACCCCTTAAACTTTGCAATTTTATATCATTATCGACTGTAAGACTTCATAATAAAAAAGATTTTTCTCGTGAGTAAATTTACAATTTATCGCTTATACTCAGCCATTTTATTAGCAAAAATGACTTTATTCAACATATCATAAAGATATTGGAACACTATATTTTATTTTTGATATTTGAGCAGGTATAGTAGGAACTTATTTAAGGCTATTAATTCGTACTAAATTAGGTAACCCTGGATTAATTGGCACTCTTTTAGAAGTCAAAAAAGTGCTTTTCAAAAAATTGTCGGAAAGCATTTTTTCCAACAGTGGTTTGGAGATAGATGTATACTATAAGTATTTTTATATTTGTTGAACTGGAAATTCTTACGCCACGATCTTGTAGTACACTAACACGGTAACGGTGCAAGAATATGCGACAGAGGGAAACAAATCAGAAAATAGGCTGTAGCATCATTCTAATAACGACAAAAATTAAAAAAAATACAATTGCCAACTCTTCTGCTAAGCGTCAATATGTCAAAAATCCCCCTTACGAGGCAACCTTTGGTGGGGACCTATGTTCAACAGTAGACTTTTGATAGGCTGTAACGTATTTTTATATTTAAGTTACAGAACAAAACCAAGTAACTTTTTTTCTTACCGTTATTTTAAAACCAAAATTAACGAAATATTATATATAAATACCAGAATTTAGCATAATGTTCTACTTAAAATCAAACATAATAAATACCAATATTTTTAAAAACGACAATGTCTTTAACGTAATGATTTCTCTCCTCTTTTACGATTCAAAAATAGAAGCTTTAAAGCCGAATTCAATGTCGTATCGTGCATTCTGT